ACCGATACGACTTCGATACGGGAAAACCACAGAGCCTTCGAGGAACTCCCGCGCTCGTCGGCTTCCTTGCTCTCGAATGACTGAAGATGACGTAAGCAGTGACGATCGACCGCGTCATTATGCAAAACCGAAATTTGAGAGATGGACCTCCGCGAGCAAACTGACGAATCGCCCCGTATTTCATCATGGACGCTGAAAAAAAAGCCCTTTTTTTTTTCCCGGCAGCCGGCGGGACCACAGCGAGCGACGCCAGCGCTCCATTGCGAGTACCACCGCAACTCTCGTCTCCCCGCTCGTCCGAGAGATGGCGAGACGAGAGCGAAGCCCCGATTTTCCCTGGCAGTTGCCTCCCCTCCCCTCCGTGAGGCCGACTTGCGCATTACATTCCTCAAAGGCACATCCTCGGATGACATGAAAGAGTTCGGTCGAAACCCCAAGCACACACACACACACACACACATACATACACACACACACACGTTCTCCGGTTTGAAATAGGAAAATCATTATTAACTCCTTCGTAACACATCAACATTAATAGCCCCCTTATTAAAATCAACGATGGAAATAGGTTTCGTAAGACAAATAGGGAAAAACGCAAGTGAAATGTTTCGCTGTGCACTATGGGATCGTCAAAAGCGACAGTTACCCTTTCAGACCAAGTGTCGATTCCAACGAACATTACACATACCATACCATACCATAACATACCACACATATTGTTGCTCCCTTTGCAATTAACCCAATTTATCTCATTGGGCAATTAGACGCCATTCCGTGTCGAATCGAAACTTTCTCGGATTTGAATGAAATTTGGCAGGCTAATTTGCACCTATTAGACTCGCAGCAATTACATGATTCACTTGACTTCTTGCTCCTCGGATATGAGATCGTGAAAATTCAAGCCAAAATTCCTCATTTGCCATGCGATGATGCAGTCTTCGCCTCATGAATTCTGCTCCGTTCGAGCGAGAGCCCTTTTCAAACAAGTGATCATTGTTTGAATATGTGCTAAATGTAAACTTTCAATGAGGAAGTCATCATAATGACCTTTCATCTCATATTACCAAAAACAATCATTAAAAAAAAAATTTAATGGCTTGCAGGCAAGATATGTAGCGAAATTTATGTTAAATTTTACCTTAAAGTTCTTGAGATAACTACAAAAGAGAGCAACATTGATCGCGACCAACATCCCTGCATCCAGCAATATCTCCAGAGTTTATCTGTAAAGCCTAATGGACTTCATAGAACTAAACGCAATAAAGGACAATCAAAACTGCAGTTTTGCTACAAAAACCACTTGGGAGACATTCTCATGGAAACAGGAGAAAAACACTCCTTCGGCAAACTTTTCCACTTGATCCGCGTTTCTCCCAAGAACAGTTACTTTTCAAAAACTCTAAATTATGGTCCAACATTCTGTTTCATCCACTACTTTTCTCGATGACTCGCGAAACCCCGAATCGTCTCCTCGTCCGCGCACGGAAGATGACGCTCGGCCAGAAGCGCGGGTGAGTTTTATGGGAAAGAAACACTATTATACTGATGTTGATTTTAATTACTTCCTTCCCATTATCTCAAAATTAAGTTTGCTGTGACTGTTCCTCCTGTTAGTGCATATTGCAAATGAACCTCATCTACCCAGAAATGGATTGACCCTCGCTTTCTCTCTCTTGGGTCATTTCTGTCTGAGAAAATAAAATTACATTCATATGAAAATTATTTTTGTGCTTATTCATAGCAGTAAAATGTTCCACTTGGCACTCAGAAATACATAGAGGTAAATAATATACAACTGAAGGAATATGTGCCATCTCGTACCCAAGAGGGAGCAAGAGTAAAGCACAACCGTGAGAAGAACGAAGAAACAAGTCTCACCAAAACGGGATGGTCCGGATCGGATCGGGCCGAGAAGGACCATCGCATCTAAACATCTGTTCCCTGGAGGCAGACTGTCTCTCCAGGATTGCCTGCCGTGTAGCTGAACTCCCGATTGGGGTAATCTCCTGGAACCTGCATGGGAATTCAGAAGTTAGTTACATGATGTCACAAGACATATGCCATGCAAATGACAAGCATGAGGAAAATCTAACTTTATTATGATAGGCATAGACAGTGGCATACTTTGTTCAAAGTAGATGCAAAAAGGACAGCAGAGCCAGGATCCCAAACCCCACACAAGCAATATCTGAGGAGAAAAATATTGCTTCCAAGGGAGCACCAGACTCCGTCTTAAGCGCACCAGGGGGGGGGGCACAGCCCCCTCTGCCCCCATTAAATATACCAATTGTGATAAGCATCAGGTGGTGAACTCCTAGTCCACTATGATTCCAGTGCATTGCACTGAAAAGGAGTCTCAATGATTTTCATAAATCCAAATTGCAACTTGCTGTCTATTTTACAATGTTAGCATAATCCCTCATAAAAGTTGGACCTACCAATGATTCCCTAATATCTGGAGAGTTCAGTTTCTGATCAGTCTTAAGGAAATCATCAAGACTAATGATGGGGAGAGTCAAAACTGGAACATCGAATGTCGATTTGACCCGAGGTCCTGGAAGAAGACTATTTCTGTCCATAAGCCATAATCCGGATCATAATCAGGATCCCCACATTATCCAATCTTCTGCACTGCTGAAGGGCATTGTGCTTGATGGACACCAGCAGGGCAATCACCTTCCTAGTACCTGGAGATACACCAGAAAATGCATAAATCCCATGTTCATGACATCTTACCACCCCAAAACAGAAAATTTGATAAGCAGTCCCATTAAAGGAAATCCTTGGATGCATCATTGTTGGTGATGGACACTTGAACACATTAGCCCCCCAGTTGACTACAACCATAAGTTTAATAAATACACAATCTACAACCATAAATTTAAGTTTGCCATGATGCCCTTAGAAGGTTTTTCTGAAGGTTGGAATGTTTGGAAGGAATGGGTTCTAGAAGAATAAATCACCCTTGAGGCTGCCCTGTCTGTGACAGCAGCAACATAAGTAGCATTACTTAACTGTGAGTTCAGCACCCCAATGATTGAAGATGCTGGAGTATATGTGAAAGGCTGATTCCACAGATTCAATATGGTGCATCTGATGAGAAATTGGCAAGCTGTCTGAATTAATGATGGAAAATAGATACTTTGCCTCTTGCTCCGACTCAGCAAGGCTTCCTTGCTTTTCACCAGGCGAAGATTAGGTTTTAAGGGGACACAATGTACATGGTGTTCACATTTGTGAAAAATTGTAGCAACTTTATGGTGGCTACTATGATCAATTGATCAACTTCTGAATGTTTGAAACAAAAGTGACATCTTCATATGATGATGACAGTGTTTCGAGAATAAATTTATGAGTCCTTAACTTCAGTAAAGCTTTTGACACACAAACCTCTACTCATAAAACTGCAATTTATGCATGGAATCAGAGGTGCTACTTTGCAATGGATACAATCCTTCCTGACTTACAGAAAGCAGCAGCAGCAAGTCAGCAACCATAACCATCTTTCTCCCAATAAATATTATCTGGAATGCCCCAAGGACCCATACTTGGTCTTCTCCTGTTTCTTCAATATATGATTGACATGTCTCTCTCAGCCCTTACCTCTTTGCAGATAACATTCTGCTCGTGTTCTCCATAAAATCAACCCAAGACGAAAACCTCTTACAATTGGATGTCGACAATGACAACATCTCGCAGAGGTGCGACATGTACTGCATGGAGCTTAATGTTGATAACACACACTTTCTTTCATACATTAGAACCATAAAAATGGATCTGCCATCACACAACACAAAACAAGGTCAATTGCAGCACATGATTCCCATGAGCAACTAGGCCTATCTCCGGCACTCTATCATGGAACTTGCATGTACAAAAACTCTGCCAAAAGTGGGCAAAAACTTCTGGGCATCCTTTAAGTCTTGTGGCTTAAGCTTGTAGAGCTTGTGCCAAACTGAAACTTTACTGTACAATAATTGAACCCCACTTTGACAATTATGCACCAGTTTGGTCCTCAATTTTGTGAGATGTACAGCTCCAAAATTGAAGGAATTCAAAGGAAACCCACTCAAATTACCTCGAAGGTAAGTATAAGAACACCTCCCCTCCAACACCCTACTCGTTTCCAAACATTAAGTCTCGTCTCCCTCCAAAATCATCATTAACTTTCCCTTGAACTACCACATAAAAAATCATCATTCCTCAAAGCCTGACCATTGGATTTTGGGCCACTTAAACAAGCAGCAACTATCGGCAACAGAAACCTTGAAACACACCTTCAACTGACTTTCTACTCAAGCCGATATTAAAAGCAAATTCATTTTCTCCAGGCATTGTAAGACTATGGAGTGAATTTCAGACATAATAAAAAATTGAGTTGTTGAGGGAAATCTTCATAAGGAAAAGAAAAACCCAGAAACAATATTTTCTCTAGAGGCCTTTCTAAATCAAACTCACTCACTATTCTACATTACACTTTTGGGTTTCGTGAATTCCTCCAAATCTATATTGCTCCCTTTTAATTTGAATCTGATTCAGTATGTTCTCTCCCTCCATATAACACATCCCTATCAGTTTTGTCTCTTTTTTCCTCTACTTTGTTTCATTTTCCAATTTGTTTTGTTTCCCCTGTATTGCTTCATTTGATTGACCATTATTCTTCTGTCACTGTGTGCATCACTTTAAACAACCCAAATAAAGCTAAACTGAAGTAGTGAAAATTCATGAGCTTGCTTTGAAAATGGATGCACAGACTGGACTCGAGTTAGCAATGATTTTTGTTTGCCTAGGCCCTTTGCAAATAGGCCAAACATGAGGCCCATCAAAGGCTTAGCGTACGATTGGCCATTGAAAACCGGGAGCGTCAGGCCCAGGCCAATGATGACATGTATACAGAGGGTGTTGGCCTGGTTCTGTAGCGTTAGCGACGAGTAAGGCTTGTCCATTTGGCTTACACCTGTGCTTTTGTTCCTTTCTTGCCTGAGTCCGTACTCGTAATGATCTACGAGGGCCACACGTCCCCCACTATGGCTGCAGCTGGGAGCAGAGAAATGCTTCGAGCATGGCTACCACGTGGTCTGCAGACTGGTCGACCCCCATGGTTGACCCCGTGGCTTCAAAAGGTGCCGCGACAACAGCGCCAGCTCTTTGGGGTCACATTTGTATACCCGAAATCGAATAGTAGAGACCTCCTCCATTCTCACTTCGCCATGACGTCCTGCGGACCGCTTAGGGCCCGAGGGGGCAACGCACACACTGGTCACAGGTGACACAGTAGAGATGGAATCAGAAATACCCGCCCTCGTATACCTCTACCAGCCGGCCGCCAGTGAAGCGCAAAAGGGGCGGGTCTCTGGCGTCGCAAAGGAGTCTTCTCTGATTGGTCGGGCAATGGGCTCTCGTTTTCAAAACGCGTGTCAGCTGATTTCGCGGGCGAGGGTCCCCACTCAGTTGTGTCCCGAGCTGCTTAGGCATCCGGCACGGTCCCTCATTTTTCGCTTTTACCTGTTTTATGCTAGGATATTTAGAAGTGCATCGTTAGGAGGGAAGATGCTGAGACGCGTGCCTTCCAGCTCCATGGCCGAAGAGCTCTCGCGTTCCGCATGTCTCAGCGGGCTGAACCTGGAAGTCCCGCGCCAAGTGGAGACCGAGGAGAAACGGCTCCTGCCGCGGCTGTCCTCGTCCCTCAACACCGTCGGGAGGATTGGAATTTCGCCGAAGAACGTGAAGAAGTCGGTGGCGTCGCCGTTGGAACTTTCGCCGCTGAAACGGACGAAACAGGTGTGAAGCAGGAGCGATTCGCCTTTAGCCTATGCGACCATAGACTAACGTTATGTTTCGTGGGCTTTCGCGTCTAAGGTCCAATCTTAGCCTAAGCCTTGGCCTCACATTACAAGGAATTCATGGTTCCCTTATGCCTGGAAAATCTGGAAAATTAAGAGTCGTCTGCCAAGGCATAGGCTGGTGAACTAAGAAAAAGAAAAGTTATTTCATGCCTAGGAGCCACTGAACTTGATTTATTAGCAATCACTGGTGAAGAAAGTGGACTGATTTTTCAGTCAGAAAATTTTCAGCCAGGTGTTGGGTTTATGTAGATATATTGCCTAAACAAAAGAAATTCAGGGAACTTCACCCAGGCTGACCCTTATATGAAAGGTATTGCTTAAGCTATTATGAGTGACTCAGTTTTATGGAGTTACCACAGTGCAACAGGTCAAGCTGAGAATGGGGATGGAAAGTAAAAAATTTAAAAGAAAATACATTTCTGACTGAATTTTTTGCTTCTACCATAACCCTTTCAGACCTGGAAGGTTTGCATTTTCTTATATATTTTTGTAGGGCTTTATAGGAATGCATAACCTTGAGGCCTGGAAGGAATCCTGAGACTCTGTGACCTCTTTTGGAATTTGTATCTTTGTGGTCAATGACATTTCATTGTGGATGGTTGAGAGGTTTGCTTTTACTTCATTTACATTTATTTAATGCTGGTCTTGAAGGGTTAAAGTATTTGTGGAGCATGTTTCCCTTACGGGATGAAACCTCGAGGAATCATGCCCCAATGCAAATATATAAAGCCTTGGCCTTGAAACTGTTGTTTTCTTTTTCTTCCAGCAAATGCCAACATGGAGCCAGCACCTCTCGTTCGAGTCGAGCCCGGAAACCCTTCGGGACAGCAGCATGTCGGACTCCCTCGTCGGGTCCCTGTCCCCCCTTCACCCGATCCGCTCGTCCAAGACCGATCTCTCGTCCGTCTCGAGCGAATCCCCCCTGTTGGACTTCTGCCGAAAGGCCTCCCGGGCCCAGAGGCGGTTCGAGTTCGCATCGCCGGAGAGCCCACGGTGGACGTGCTGCTCGAACTCACCAAGCTGGGAGATTGCCCACCTGCATTAACCCTTCTTCTATCTTACCTGTCGCCGAAAGACCTCTGCCGCGTGTGTGTCGTCTCGCAGGCGTGGCGACAGGCCGTCCTCGGGGATCCCTGTTCCGACCGGAGGAGGAAGCGTTTCCTGGAAGAGTGCCGCAAGCTCAAGAAGCAGATGGGGAAGGTGAGGTGTCCAGTTATGCAATTAAGATTGTTTAGAAACTCTAAACCTGAGTTTCCCACAATTTTGAGTTTCTCAGATATAAGGAGTCATCATAACATCTTGCGAAGAACTCTTAAAAAATAAATTTTTTTCCACATATGCCATATAAAAGATGAAATTGATCATAAAGCTGCAAAAAGAATGCAACTCTAGTAGTGTCACATGATGCATATTCTGAACTATCAGGCAATGTTTCTTCAGGAACTTTGAAAGTTTTCCTTAACTCCCCAGAGACTAGTTCTAAGTGAGTATTTTCAAATTTATAGTAGCAAATAAATAAATAATTTTGTGCACTGAGGGTCTCACAAGTTATGAACTCGTGTCTAAGGGGTTTATTTAGGGTTATCATTTGATTTAGGTCTGATTTAGGGTTATCATTGCATGGTTGATTATGGAGCAGTATTACTTAAGCCTGATGTGGCAGAGGGCAGACTTAGACACAGAGTCAGACCTCTCTGCTGGAATTTCACAATGACCATGGGAGGGTAATTTCTTTCCTTTCCCCTTTTCACAGGAGAACGTGGTTCGGAAGAGCTTCAGCGAAACTCCGTCATCGATATCGCGAACGGGAAAGTCGTCACCCTGCAAGAACCTCTCAAACACGGACTTCTCCAGCGGCAGCGGCACCTCTGGTTCTTCCGAAACCCCCTACAGCCCCTCTAAACGCAAATTTCTCACTTTCTTTGAGGTGAGAGGATATTCTCCGAGGAATATATAATTTGGCCTGTGTTACTATGGCTCAAGTGCTTGTCAGTTGGAACAATGAAGCAGGTTTTCTCTGTAATATTCAGCATTAGTTCATGAAGGTAAAGTTTTGAAGCATTTCTTTCCCCAGGATTGTAGTCTTGGATATTGGAACAGAATTTCAATCTGATGACCAATGACAACTACTTAGTTTATGTGGCTCATTAGCACTCGATATTTAATTGCGGTTCTTCGTGGGAGGGAATATCTGTTTCATGCTCTTTTTTTCACTTCCATAATGCTGTCATATATCTTCTGAACACTTTGCAAATTTTTCTTCATTCTACTTCCACTTAGGAAACAATATTCATGAATGGCATTAATTGGCATTCTGTTGCCTTCGGTAATCTTATTTACACGGTGACACTAGCCCATTCATCCTTTGAGAGTGTAAGGGTTTACTTTTCTCCCTGCAGTGCATGACCTATTTGTCTTTCATGAATTAAGATAAGGTGAGAGGGGGAGATAAAAGTGAAATATGGAGAGATAAGGGAGATAACTACCAGCCACTTGCATTTTTCCATAGTTCTATTTATTTTATTAAAAATAGCTTGGCAATGTCAGGAATATTGATAGCCATTTCAAGTCCTGAGGTCTGGTCCATATGGCACTGTTAGCTCAGGATGAAACTTTCTGATAATATATCAGTGGGGGGGCTGTAGAATCTGCATAATCCCAGCTGGCTTCTATTGAATGCTATGCTGTGTTGACTTTTATGACTAAGGGCAGGAAGCAGATGAGATAGTGCATGTATCCGGGATATACCTCCCATGCCCAGACTGTTAAATTATATGATCTGAAGAATCAACATGATTCTGGGTTTCTTTCATCAGGCTGGCAGGAGGCTGAACAAGGACGAGCACTTGACCCCGTGCCCCCACTGCTCCTCTCCCGCACGGGTGGATCGGCACACCCACCGGGCAGAATGCACAGGACGCAGCTGCCACTATTACTTCTGTTCCCGCTGCCTCACCCCACCCCACCCGAACAATCCGTGCAGTTCCGTCCAGGGCCGACTGGAGCAGTCCGCTCCGGTCGGCAGTTCCAAGAGCCGGCGGAACCTCCGACGGCTCTGACGACTCCGTGTTGCGTTTTTATCTCCTGAAACCGTTGTGGAATATTGCGAGTCATTGGCAAATGGACTCCTGTGATATTTCTCATTCTAGTGAAGCTGGATTGATGTGTCTTTTTGGATTTTTTGCAACAACCAAGCACAGAGTCCTCATGCAATGTTTTGCAATGCAAAGTAATTACAAAAAGTTTTTTACATCAATCAGAATTCACTGGATCAAAAGCATGTCTTTTTGGCCCTGGGCTTTCTTCCTCTTTTGTAATGTGGGTGATATGATAAATCTTATGGATTTTACGCATTATTTTGTATTGTCCTTCAATCTTGAATGTACCACTGGCGCACTTCAAATAAGGAAGACTGACAGAATTAAGAAATGAACACCAAAAATTGGGGTGTGTGGCAAATGCAATCTACAAATTTAGTGCCATGGAAAAAGATTTATCCATGCCACATGGCACCATGGCACCAGACCCTCTGGCTTTATCTCTATACTTTCCCATGGGAAACCTTTGCAGGTGTAGCTTATGGGTTTCCAAAGTCCACATGCAATGTTTTTTTAGGAGTATCTGGACTCTGCATAAAGTGTGTGTTACCATGATACTATTCCCCAGAAAGAAGGAATTTCTCTTTTTGCAACAAAGAACTTCACCCAGACTCAATTCTTTGCCTTGTGTGTCCTCACAATACTGTACAATACTGTATTTTTTACAATACTGTATTTTTTAATTTGACCTGCACAGCAACTGAAAATTTTTGGGGATTGAATGCTTTTGAAACCAGAAATTCCTAGAGCTTATGTCAGAGGCACATCTATAAATAACTCCTGAATATATGTAGGCTAGATGATAGCGTGGCATTTTTTTTTTAACAAGATCAATTTTCTGATGATGAGGCAAGTTTGACTAATTTTCAGCCCAATATGAAAAATATTGCAAGAAAAAACTGCTCATCAAGCAGGCATGAACCTGTTCACAGCTGAAGATCATGGTATATTCGATATTAGGAATTTCTCTTTGTCTCCTCATTGAGAATACAGTACACAAGGCCCCATGCATGAATAGCAATGGGGCAAACAAAGGAAGAGGGAAGGGTCTGTCATGGCTGCTGCTTTTACACCTCTCACGTTTATTGAAACGGTGTATTACAACCAAAGTTCCATCATGATTCACAAGTGCTGAGGCATGAAAATCATTTGGATAGCTTTACAAATTAGTGATTTATGACAACCAATCTGGTATACAATATTAGCAGATGAGAGATTAGTCCTTTGAAAAATATGCATGAGGACACTAAACAACTGGCTGGAAGGAATTGAACAAGTGTTTAGATTCAAAAGCACCCGCAAGTATCACTTATGACACTCCATGCTTGACCACGGCTAAAGCATTAGTCATGTATCATATGACCAGTGTATCCTTGTCATTTTCTTTAGCAAGATCCATTTGGCAACTTCAGAAAATGTCCATGATGTGGTCAGTTAATTTCTGCCAATGATGAAGATACCTTTCAGCCTCTGTTCCTCTCAATTTCAGAAACATTAGATATATGGTTCTCAAGAATGGATTACCTATTGGTAACCATCAGATAATGATGGCAAAACGTTACAGCAAGAATTGAAGAGGGGATCAAGTGCCTAACCCAGAGGCGTTGCTTGAATGCGTTCCTTCATCCTGTCCTCATGGTGCAAAGATACCAGGTTTATGGGAAGAAAAGCTAGACCACCAAGTGAAAAGCCTCAATTGTTTCAACCATGAATGTAAAAGTCATAGGAGAAACTATGGACATCCAAGACTGCTTCTTCCCTGTCACATCACAACACACTGGTAATCACTTTAGTGATGTATTATTGCATCATTTTGATTGGTTCAGGTATTTCATGGCTAAATTACTGAATGGAGATGGTGACTAATTGTATCAGGCAGTTGCCATGAGAATTGAATGGGAAGAAAGGGTTAGGAGCATTGCATTATATCTAAAAGAAAAACTGGCATAATTTGAGGGCAGCTTAATAATGCAGATGGTCCAAATGAATCACAGCAAAATACAATCTGGTGACTAAGTTGTTGAGTGTTATGAATGACAAAATTAAGCAAAGGTCAGGTCAGATAGTCAATACTAACACCTTGCAATGGCCTGTAGCTATGAAAAGGAAGATAGGTGAAAATATGTGAATGGATTTGTCAAGAAAATGCAACCAAGACTAAAAAAAAAAGTTTGTGTATTCTTGACAAACTGGGAAACAACAACAGGAAAGACCAGGAAGGAATACAGATCTATTAAAATTTAATTGAGATGCTCAAAATAGTGCAAGAATGTTCTTGTGCCTCTTCATGAAGAAACCGATGAGGGTTTCTTCCTCACGGATGGAAAAAGAGTGTCTGTGAGAATTGGGACCTGCACCTCCTCGAGGAAATACCGTTTCGCAGTTGGACTGTTTACCGTCCAAGCATACACTCTCACGCCCTTTGCCTTCCACCTGGTGACTTCATACCTGTGATTGTCCAACCAGCCAAAATGTGACTCAATAATGGCACCATTATCAGTCAACTTAGATTGGATTCTATTTAACATAATCCATTACTATGAAGGGCATCCTTGACGAAGAGGATAGCAGAGATGCCCAGGAAGTCAACCAGGATGTGCATGAGAGCCCAATGCATGATGAGATCCAGGCCCACAGCAAGGATGTGCTTGAAATGCCTGAATCGTGGGCTGCTGGGTCCTTGCTGCCCAGAGAACGCCCTGTGGCTGTAGTACCACGGCCGGAATCCCATCGAGAACACAATCCGAGGATCCTCCTTCCGGACCTACCATTTAAATTCCAAATCAGCAAAATTATTGATAGAATTTAAAAATTCAGATGAAGTTTGTTCCATTAATTAATGCAACCTATTTTGAGTTGATCACATAAAGTCATTCTTGCTAAAGAAAGGATGTGCAGTGAATAAACAAAACAGTCCATTCGAAATTAAACATTTCAAAATGGAACTTTTGAGTGCCATCATGATGCCAAAAACAGCAATTTGACATAAGTGAAACACCAAGGTAAAACTTTGTGTTTCAATATGTGTCCTTTGACAGGTAAGAATCAAAAGACTAACTACATCATGAAGCCTGTATATATTGATAGCAGCAGTTTTTTTCAAGAAGGATCAAGTTGGTATATTTCCAAAATTGAGCATTTTCCACCATGAAGATGCATGGAAATCTCTGATGTTCATCCTGAAGAGACTGATTTTATATTTTTTTTTTAGCTACAAACTATTAATATCTGTTTATTAATACTTCACACAGAGCTAGCAATTTAATGCCAAGAACACTACATTCTGATGGAGACAATTATGCACTATAAATAATTGGGGGAGAAAAGCTACACAGTTTTTCTCCTTCTTCAATAGAATACTTTACAACTCGCAGAGATTTGGGCAGGCTTAAAAAAAAAAGGGGGAAGCATGCATGAAAAGGGTTGATCATTGCCTGCAAACTTAGGAATCCTGCATTCCAATACATACCCTGTATATGAAGTTGGGGAAGCATGAGCAGACCATGGCATGATGATGTAGATTTGGGATTGTCCTGAACATCTCCAATATCACATCTGCTGCCTAAAAGAAAGCTTATGAAGGGTTTAAAAAAAAATAAATACCACGAAACAGCAAAGGCAATAATTTACTGACATTGCACAGAGTGGCCAGAAATAATCATGCAAATCTTTTACCTGCACTGATAGTTGCAAATATCAAAATATGGTCACAAGTTGTAAATGTAATGAATTTTAGCTGACAATGAAATCAAGAAAATAAAGCATTTTTGAAGCCGTTTTTACAATTAGCTTCAAGAAATTGAACTTTGAGGCAATAATAACAAAGCAATCCAGAGAGTAACCAGCACTAAATATGAATTATTTGCATAACCTAGGCAAAATAGGAGGAGCTAATTTCTTTTTACACCCACATTGTACGTAGATCCAAGTTTCCATTATCCTCATTCATCAATGATCAGAGAATATGGATTTTGAATTTACTATGCAGATGGTTTTTGGCAGGCTTTCTTCAATTAATAAAGAGAAAAGTGTCACCAACTAAGATACTTGAAAATGTTCATGGTAAGGAAAGTAAAGCAAAGCAGTTAACAGACAAAGAAAAAAGCTGGCAAACTGAAGGCTGGCATGAGGTCTATAATCAGATTCATATTTCATATTCATATTTACACTGTGTACTACAATTTTTCTTAAATAAAAGGCACATCATTCAAAGACCAACAATACCCCAAATTTGAATGTGTACTGTATTATACCTTTGCCTACACTGATAGAAGTAGATACCCATAAGATCTCAGAAAAACCTGGCTTCAAGCCAAGAATAATTCCTCACCTGGTGGGTTGAATACTTGACATCAATGATGACCTTCAACCCCAGGTCCAAGCAGGTATTCAGGGCTTCAGCCAGGGAGGGGATCTTCTCCTTCTCAAATTCATTCCTGACAGAACCGACAGAAATAGAAAATTAGCTTGTTTTGATAATAAAAAAAATCTCTCATACAAAAACACAATAAAAGCAATCACACTTTCTGAAAGAAGTCAATTGCAAGCAAAAGTTGAAGGAACAATGGAGAATATTTTCAAATCAGAAGTCCTACCAACCCTACCAACACCAGGTTGTGTATGGAACCGCATTTGACCATTAGCCATATTTTGGCTGTAGCATCAATTTACCAAATTAATGAACTTTCACCTGCATATGGGATGGAAATTATGTCCCCACTTCATTGTTTTGTGTTTTGCGAGTCAAGAAAGAATGGCTATAAAAAAGAAAAAGTGAAACTAGTCTTCAATTCCATAAATAATTAACAAAGATTTATGCTATCTCATTGATCACCAGGAATATGATTTTCATGAAGTTTGAATAATAAGAACATCTCAACTTCCAAACTGGAATGACAAGCAAGGGCCTAACTACAATCACACAAATGTGCTTTATCACCAGCAATTATTATAAAAGGTCATCATTGGTAAATGATGATATCATAGTCATTATCAACAGCTCAAGAGGGACAGTTAATGTTTCCTTAAACATTTCCACAATCATTTTAGGACTTAAAAAAAAAAAGGCACTATGACATAAAGCAATGCACAAGCTTTCGAAGAGAGCAACGATGATGGCCAACTGACTCATGACCAGGTGGAGGCCTGATATGCAGCTCCTGAACTTGACTCCATGTGAGACAAAAAAAAAAAGGCACTATGACATAAAGCAATGCACAAGCTTTAGAAGAGAGCAACGATGAAAGCCAACTGACTCATGACCAGGTGGAGGCCTGATATGCAGCTCCTGAACTTGACTCCATGTGAGACTGGAAACAGGACCGGTGGCCTCGGTGAGGCGATCGAACGTGTCGTCGTGGAACGCATAGGCCACTCCGTCCTTGCTCAGACATATGTCCAGTTCCACTCCTTTCACTCCCTGCTCCTTGCACTGTCACATGGATTTTGTGCAATGAGCAAACATGGAAAGGATGGCTAGTTCCTACAATCCATGTGGTGGTGTTTATGCATGGTCTATGCAGATTCATGAATAATTTTACAGCAGTAAGTAGACTATATCAATAAACACATGAAGGAGGCAATTTCCCAGATGTAAAAGGTGAATTTATAATATAAACTCTCCTAATTCTCCTGATCTTATAAGTAGCAAAAAAAAATTAACCAAGAGGGTATTCCAGGAATATATCTAGGAACTACCCTATAGAATTAGTAGATTGTTTGCAACTTTTAATTGAGAATCCTTTTCATGTATTCCCCACATCAGAGGAACCAATGAAGCCATTAAAGAATGGCTCACACTGAACCCATAGTGAAAATCAGATTAATATTCAATAGACCTCTTCTAGTGGTCTTACTTTGCGAAATGCAGACAGGCTGTTCTCGGGCGCATCCAGGCATGCTCCACGGTGCCCGATCACGTCCATCACGTTCTCTGCCTCGTCTTCGTCGAAAGCAGGGCCGAGGACACTGCGGACTGCTTCTTCGGAGGGAGGGGGGATGCGTAGATGTGCAACGGCTGCATATATGATGGCAGCACATAGTAGAAATAGCACAATTAGACAGAATGGATCTCCCAATGTCACAAAGAAGTTCACTATGAAGCACCAGATACAGAACCATAGAAAAATTATGGGCTGGAAAATTGAATCCAACATCTTCACAACCCAAATGTCATTCAACCTAATGAAAAAGCAGAAACATGAAGACTGAGAACATTTGTGCTGTGCAGGTTTCACATAAAACAGGAAAAATGAAAACAAAACAGTAATTAAATAATATACAAATATGCATGGATAAGAATTCATCTGCTGAAGAGGCTCATCATGCCATGAAGAGTTGACAATTTCCACTTTTGAAAGTGGCCTACCTGCACAGTAAATTAGTTAAATCCCATTCCATGTGCCTCTGAATGAAAGTGAGGACAAAACTTCCCAGAAGCCATCTTGAATCTTCCAGATACAAAAGCAGAATTAGCAAGTAAAGATACAACATTGAATGAACTTCAATGAAGATTCACTGCTAAACGCTCTCAGTCTGAAAACTGCACACCAGTACGAGCAGTCTTGTTCCTGATCTAGACACATTTGCACGGATTCTAGAGAAAATTCTTAGGCATTTGGGATATATTCTGGATCAGAAGCTTGAGGCTGTTCAGACAGCAAGAATGTGCTCCAAAATCTCATCGAATTTCCTCCTCTGTGTCTTCAAAAGATTCATATGTCCACATTCTCACCAGTGTTCTCACTTAGCAATAAGCTAAATCACACCTCAAGTTATACTCCCATTTTGTGTGACTCGCAACAGACATAAGCGTGCAAAAACACGCCATACACCACACTTAAAAGGAACTGCAATATGTATGCTTGAGTGTAAATCTATACAAGATATCACAGTTCCTATCAACCACGTGCCACAGTAGCGAAAGTAAATGTAGATTCGACATGGAAATAGGAACATTGTCTACGTCAGGGGCATCAAATATGTGGCCCACAGTCTGTTCTTTAAAATTTCCACTAGGACTGACAGTCTCCACAAATTTTAGTGCAAAACTACGGGCATGGCCCATAGGCATCTGCAGGGCAAGGAATGTTGCCTTCCTTGAAAAAACTAATTGAAGGATTGAATTGGATCTGAAGACTACTTCAAGCACCTCAAGTCCAACTGATCGGTAAATATCAAAGCAGCATAGACGTGCATAGCATATCATAACTTATGGGTAGATCAGTTTAACATTCCAAGATAGAAAGCACAGAAACTTTTAGGCCTAAATAAATCATCTCACATCTAATGAGAGCCGACAGGTTTCAAGTAGGCCATTTACCATTCAATAAGAATGGTAAACCAAAAAAAATTTGCCTGCTTGTGGAGTCTGGACAATTTTCAACTCAAATGACCCATCTAACTGCCTCTAATTCTCCATTATATTTCCTTCCAAAGTTTTACAAAAATGGGTATTTGAACTAAATATGAGAAACTGAATGGATCTGATGAAAAGCTATAAACTCCTTAAACTTTAATAGAAATAAGAATCAATATACATTCTGCAGGTATTTTAAGGCAATCTACTGGTTGAATTAAATATCATATACCAATCAATTTAATTATTTTGATACTCATAGTTCCTGATGTCTCACAAGTAACAATTGGCCTAATTAAAATGAAAATAGTTGGAACATTGCACAAGTCTGTCAGCTTACCCTAATCCTATCCACATAATCCAGCTAACAATATCGACGGGTCCGTGAATGGATTGGAGACCTCAATGTGTTAAACTGTGGGTGGGATCGGGTATGTTCCTGATGGACATGCGAAACATGCCTAAGCTGCATTGCAGGCCCATCTAAAGCGAAAGTGATCGGCTCCCGAGCGGACCCCGGTCCTAAACAGTCTCCCGTGGATTTCGCGCTATTTAGCACGGAGTAGGCTAGCGCAACGAAACGGAGGCAGTCCAGGAAGGAACACGTGGACCGGTGTTAAAGCCTCGGCCAGCCGCGTCGAATCCGCTGCCACAGCATCGAATCCGCTACCAGCCGCGTCGAATCCGCTGCCACAGCGTCGAATCCGCTGACACAGCGTCGAATCCGCTACCAGCCGCGTCGAATCAGCTGTCACACGGGCTGGCATCATCATCCCATTCATACCATACTCTCTCGTGTTCAAAGGAGGCAATTTAGAGCATCAAACCTTTTTTTTTTCCTGCGCAAATGAGCACTGACACCGCGTTCGCCAAGAGCAGCGGAGAAGGGAGAAATAGGAAACGGGAAAAAAAGGAAAAGTAAAAAAAAAATAAATTGAACAAGAATTTAAAAAAATTAGTAAAAGGGGGAAAAAATGGAAAAGAAGGAGTAAAAGAAGGTTGACAATAAAATGCGTCCATTACTCGAAAACGTACTTTCAATGGAAATAATGCATGGAAAGAAATCGAATGATTTATTTATCATTATTTCGTTATCATTTTGCGAACCTGCCCTCGTTAATTCAAATAAATGTAAGTGCATCCTCATGACAGAAAATCTGCAAGCACTTTTTTTTACGCGGTTATTAGCTCATCCCATGAATGCAGTACGATAATGTCTCCAACATTAAAAAAAAAGATCCAGACAACGATACTAAAGGCCGAAGAAATCACGAATCTGACATCACTCCGACCTGACATCCGGCAACACTGGGGGACGGAATCGGAGCCGGCGCTCCAAGCCTAAATGAACAACAGCTAATTTCCTTTTTTTTTTTAATGGCGAAAAAGAAATGAAAAAAGCGAGATTCAGTGTTCTCCGCGACCCCGGGAAATCGAAGCTTCAAATTTCCTGGAACAATTCGTCCCGTAGAGGGGAAAGAATCATGCCCAACATAGTTCCTTAAGCTGCTCAAGGCGAGGAGCACAAGATAGTAGTAGAGCGGGAACAGACGCCTATGGACGTTCATCACTGGGACGCAGGGCCTGTCTGAAATCTAAACATCCAAGCTTGACCTTGGCCTCGCTCCGAGAACAGACTGCCTCCCAGTCTCCGACGAGCGGGTGTCTCGTGTGTGTCTCGTGTGTGTGTCTCGAGCGTAGATGTTGAGCAGGGAATTGCTTGCGAGAATTTATTATTGTATTTGGTAAGAAAAATTTTCTCATAGTTTACGGGAATTTTTTTTTTCCCCGCAAATCAGATGTAGATTTCCCCCCCCCCCCCCTCAAAATAGGCTTTTATCATATAGAAACATTAGTACTTGGCAGTTTCCACCTAATGAAAATACTGTGACCAGACAAACTGCTCCTATGTGGTTTCTTGTGTGCGTGGTCTAATAATTTCACGAATCAATACAAACCATGTTCGGAGGGACGATAGCCTCGCTTCTTTGCTTCCAATATCCACAAAGAGAACTTATGACATCGCGAGCAACTCAGGAAATGCGCTTCATGTCGTAAAGGAGCACTGAAGGAAGAAGGAAGGAGTTGGCAGTAAGCTAGAAGATAAAAAATTCTTTCACCTCATAAGTTTGGAGACCCAAGCAGCCATGGATGTAAATATGACGTCATCGCCACGGATGGATGCCTTCTCGTGCATTCTCGGCTTCATCCGAGCCGAATTTCCCAACATCGAACACTTGATAATTTTATTATCAAGTGTTCGATGATCAAGTTACGGCATCCGGTCTCAGGATTTCTAGTTTTTTTTTTTCAATTCAAATGTCTCATCTAAGGTCGAAATCCAATAACTTCAATCATTATATGGACAGTGCGATATTATCCTTTGACTAGTGCATTATTTCATAATAAATGTTCATAATAAATGTTCATAATAAATGTTCATAATAAATGTTCATAATAAATGTTCATAATAAATGTTCATAATAAATGTTCGACATAAGGAACGAGATGATGCGTCAGTCCATATTAGGCCAAAAATTGCACGTTCAGCAAAGGAACTTCCAAGAACATCCTCTCACCTGGATGGGTAGACCTCAAGGACATTCATGGGTAGACCTCATGGTCTACCCATGAATGTCCTTGGATGGAGTCCCCGCCCCGTTGAGGCCCTTCATCTGGCCCGACATCTAGCTGTAAAGTAAAAAAACATGAAGTTCCCACAATTTAAGCAAGGTGGATAGGAAGCCCCTACAGAATGCCTCCTGATTTCCTTAATGCTATTGCGTTGTCCTGCAGAAGCTCTCATTCTCCACTCGATTATTTCCCATTTACAAGCCGAAGGAAGGAAGTCATACCAATTACTTCACTTGTTGAGAAACGTAACGTAGCTCAAGAAGACTCCCGGTAATACTTGCAATACTTGAGAGAGTGGTTCCCTTGCCACTGTATGTCTAACGAGGACATTCCCCAAGGAGTGTCGTGCCAAAAATTGCAACAATGCATGCGCGAAAACTTTCCGCAACTGAATCCTCGTCCACAGCAGAAACTTTTCTATGCAACTTTTCTTTGCAAGTCGACTTGCAACGAAAAATTTTCATGGTCTTTGAAAGTTTAGATTGCGAGAATTTTTCTTTCCGGGTCCTCTTTGCTTTCAAAAGTAGAAACCCAGTCTAATTTTCTTGCATAGAGGGAGAACGATTTCGGTGTCGAAAAAAAAGCAAGATGCCTAGTCTAATCTTGCAACGGAAATGGAAGCAATGGTGGCCGAAGTGCAAATTAAAATGTAAAAGTTCGTGACTTTGCACATTACAATGTCCTGTTTCTCATACCACCAAGTTTCATTTAAGTCTGAATTTTTATTGTTTTTTTTTTATTTACTATTCTTTGGGTGAACAGGTAAAAAGAACATTTTGAGACGCGATGGAGACACCCGGTCGAGGTTGCTGTTCACTCGTCAAAAATCCCAGAGTAATTACCAGTCTCTCTCCAATCGAAGTGGACTCACGATAGCGAGTGTCCTTCGGAGAAAATCCAAATCCTTCCCACCAAATCGTACCGTGTTTCTGCCGCAAGAAGTTCCTTTCCCGAAGCGAGCCGCCGTTTTCTCTCACCATCGTGAATGCTTCGTTTTCCTTAATGTTGGCATGGAGTTTGGCGAAGAAAAATTCTTCTCTGGCGAGGAAAAATTCTTGCAGAAAGAACTTTCAATGACCATGAAAGTTTTCGGCGCTGACAATCTCTGAAAGTTTTCTTTCAAAGTTTTCCTTTGCTGCATTCTTTCATTGTGGAGGAAAATTTTTCTGGCGTGGATGACAACTTTGCAACAAAAAAAAATTATTAGCAACTCTTCAGGCAAAGAAAGAGAAAATATCATTAGTCGCTTAGTTAATTCCTTTTTGCACATGGACATCAGTTACTATCGTTATTCTCATCAGTTATCGCGCCGTTTTTAATTCAGGTCTGAAAACAAGTCCAGGAATCTGTGCATCAACATGAGGGGAATTCCATGTCTCTTGTCTGCACTGATCCTTTTAAGCAAGTATGGATCGGGAAATGTAAGTTGAAACTCATCCGTTGTCGAACTAACCTATGCGCATTTCAGCGAATAAGGATATACGCCTACAGTATGCAGATTTCCGTGAAAAAGGGTATACGATGCTCCAAACAACATTAACGGTGGATAAATGTAATGAAGACTTGGGAAAATTTAACGTTTAATTTCAGCACCTTTGGAATTTTTTCATGTTTTCGGGGCAATGAATTTTTTTTAATGGTTATTGACTGTTGAGGATTGCAATTTTCCTTCTGGAAGCAAAGAAATCCTTCATTGATTTCAACATGAAGCCATTCTTGCGATATTAATATATCTAGTCCCTCTTCCCAGGCACTCGAAAGCATTCCGATCCATGGACGGGAAAACGTTGGAGGCAACTTGGAAGAAATTTTGTCAGATCTGAGGGCAACCGCACTAGAACATACGAAGCAAATCTCACAACTGAAGTCTGAAAATGAGCAACAGTTGGAAAGCCTCAGGAACGAATACAAGAATATGAAGCACCTCTTTGAGAACATGATAAAAGAGCACGAAAACCTCAAGTCCAGCCTGCAGGAACAAATCCGGGAAAGAGACGAACTTAAACTTCAACTGAACGCCACGGAAGGAAGACTCCAATATCTGGAGGCTGTTAGCCTGCAAATAAGTGAGTGGAGAATTGATGAAGCCCTTCGATCGTAATTGTTAACGAACATAAAATATATATATATATATTTTGGTGAGCTAATGGCATAAAAAAAAAACGGTCGTTCCGGTATCCGCAGAATGTCCTATCACTGCTTGGAAATTCTGCTGCAGTGTACAGTTACCGCCACCACAATACTGAAATTCCCTTACCACAGACGGTTACACAACACATTGATATACTTCGAATAGAAAGGCGCCTATATTGACGATGACAATTGTTCGCCTGAAGCGCGAAGCACAAGAACCTGGGACGCACCTTGGAGAACTTCAAGCCACGCCATGCAACGTTCTCCATCATGTTCGCCCTTCACCCCCTTGGTCTTTCGACTTCCTTTGCACTCGCATTTTTCTCGAATAGAGAAATGATTCTGTCCTAACTCTGATATTTGGCCAGAAAATTCGTTACTGTGTCCTGTTCCTTATGGGAATCCCTTTTGGTCGCTGGCATCGCATTAGAACGACAAATATGCGCGCGCATAGTGTACAACTCAGAGAACGGTTACAATAGTACTTCAGCCGATCGGATATTCCAGGCAGTGATATAAAATGTCGCCGTTACCCGAACGTCAATTTCTGTATGAAATGGTCTAAAGTACCGTCTTCATTTGATATGCCTCTGCTCAGAAGTGCATCTGTTCTTCCAGCTGAGGACAAGCAATATATCAATACTTTTATCACAGCTCCCCGAACGTGTCAGACGTTGGCAGACTTGGGAGTGACACGGACGGGAGAATATTTGGTGGATCCTGACGGAGCGTTGATCGGCGATGCACCCATCAAAGTGCTCTGTGACATGGAGACAGGTCGGTGAAGTAAACAATCGTTTCGGCATTCGCTAAACAACTTAAATTTTTTATTTTGTTTTTTATTTGTTCCGGCTAATGCTCTCTCAACCTTGCCACGTCTAGATCCCGTATCCACGATTGTCCTCCACGATGCGATGGGAAACACTGCGATTGATCGATGTGCAGATCCTGGATGCCACAATCACAGCATCAGGTATGGTTCAACGATGAAACAGATGGTGGCACTGATCAACCAGTCGAAGTCGTGCGAACAGCACATCAGAGTGAGTGCATCCTGTTGTCTCAGGACTTTGTATTTTAATGTTCTTATATCGTAAGCCGAAGGTTACCGTTGGCAAATTTTGAAGAGTGCATACTCTCTTGTCGTTTCAAAAAGTTAATCCTAAAAAAGTTAATTACAAAAAAGATCCATCTGCTGCTCGGCAAAAACAAGAGCAAAAGCCAATCGGCATTCCGCGTAGTAATGTTAATTTTTAAAAATAATATGACCCTGGACACTTAAGATTCACAACTGAAAATCTGCTTTCCAGGATATTGAATTTTGAGAACCCAACCTTGCATAGTTCTAGATGTCTCAGACTCAGCATTGACTGTGTATCGTTTCAGTATGACTGTTTAACGACGGCCCTCACGACTGGAGATATACACTACGCATGGTGGGTGGACCGTCACGGCGAACCACAATACTACTGGGACGGGTCAAACAAAGGAAAACATATATGCAAGTGCCACCTCTCTGGGAACTGCATAGACTCCAACCTATCTTGCAATTGTGATGCAGAAGCTCCACAATGGGGATCAGACTCAGGAGCGATAACGAATGAAACAGCATTGCCCATAACTGAGTTACGCTTCGGGGGGCTACAATTTGAGGCTCAGAAAGCGAATTACACATTGGGTGGATTGGCTTGCAAGGGCAGGATTCCGCCTCCGGACAATCCAGCACAATCCTGTATATCTCTTCGCCAAGCTGGAAACGCTCATCCTGGTTATTACCTACTCAACTCCAAGGAAGGTCGCTTGGACGTCGTTATGTGTAGGATGGATTTGGAGGAGACCGACCCGAAGTTTCAGGTGGAGACGAAGGCCCGCATTGCATATGGAGACCCCTATTTTGATGTGTTGCTAGCTAATGGAACAGAAAACAACGTTCTGCAATTCAATAAGGCGAATATCAACATAGGCAATGCTATGGATCTGCAGAGCGGAATTTTTACTGCTCCCATGGATGGTATTTATGCTTTTGATTTTCATTGTAGGACGGGGAGCGGTCCAGTAGAAATCATGCTCAGAAAAAATTTAATCTTAATGGGATACGTTTACTCCTCTAACGAAATTAAACATTTCGCAATGGCGGGACAATCCATAATAATTGAGCTCATTCAAGGCGACAAAATTGATGTCTACTTATACAATGGTTCAATATTCACTGGGTCGTTTTCTTCGCATTTCACCGGTCATTTGCTATATCCCATGTGAAAAGCAGAATAAAACGAAGTATACTTTTGACTGGCATCCGTCAAAAGCATTTACGCAGTATATTCCCAACATTCCCTTGGGGGTGTCTTCCCAAGTAACACAGTATGTCGATGAATCGTTTCCGAAATGTTGCCTATGGTTCTCTATGTTGCAAGTTGATGTACAACATGGATGAAACATTTCTTCAACCTTTTCACTTAGAATGTTGCTGCGACACTTCTACGAATGCTAATTCAATATTTTTTTTTTAAATCAACATTGAGAATGTTGGCAGTCTTGACATTGCCAACGTAGCCAAAACAATCTGATACAACATGGACTTTGAAGTTTTAGGCAATTGTGAAGTTGTCCTACTTGCCACAATGATGGAGACGTAGGTCTCGCTTTTCCCTTACCCTTGGCTATCCTTAAGACTATGAGTAATAGCCATTGCTCATTTTCACTTGAACCCCCTTAATATTTATACATTTGCGTTCAGGTCTTTCCCGATCATAGGCGTGTCGTTGCAAAGGTCGTTCCTAATCATAAGACTCCGTACACGCATCAGGATAGCTCCAATTTTTAGGAGGGTTCAAGGAGGGTCCAATTTTTACCATTCCGAAAAAAAAGTATCAAAGGAAGAAACGAATATTCAGAGGCAGCCTATCGTAGGCATCAGCGATTATTTAACCAGAACTCACGTGGTATGTTCGTTTCGCTTTCATTCGGGCGGACTCATTTCCTATTCACTCCTTCATATTGCACGTGCTTATGAAGAAGAATTGAATGGCCATTCATCGTGAGTAGTTCAGAAATGCATTTGATCTCTTTGAGAAAAATGGGGAAGGAACATGGGAAAGGAAGTGGTGACCAACGTCAGATCCACACACGAGAACCAGAGCCACCATTCGGGATAATTCGAGAATAAGGATTGGTTGTCTCATTGTTAGTGGAGTTCCCGATTGCGGTTCGCCACACTCCAAGCCTCTCCCGGTTACATTCAATCACAGGCAAGGCAATGGGGTAGCGTGACTCACGTATTTCATGAACGTAGTGAGAGATCATATCAGGACTTGTAACAGGTGGGAACCATTCCTTACCCTCGTGAGCCAACTGGAAGGAGTTACGCGGGCGAGTAAGTAAAAAATTGGTCCAACGGATCCACTTAGTCGGATTAAGATTAAAAGAACCGAGTATGAACTCAATTTTTTTTCTCACTTTTTTGTTGCTAACTTTGCATCCATTATTTACTCTGAAGGGAAAATAAGGAATACAAGTATACACAGAAAATTCAGTGCCTCAGCTCGATGCATTTTTCTCGCAAAAAAATCTGTCCTGCATGTGATGCGTCTTCATCGCATCGAATTTTGGATGCGGTTATCGCATCAAATGTTGGATGCGATAAAAACGCATCACATGGAGGACAACTTTTTTCTCGACGAAAATGCATCAATTTGATTCTGCGTGCATAGGTCAGGTATATAATGCACTTCTGCTGCATTGAACATTTCGTGATGAACTTCCGCCACATCGAAATTTGCCTTGCATGTACTATTGTGGGAATATAGTGGCTTTTGAGCTTAAAGCCCAAATACACGAACCTCATTTAATGGAGACAACGGGGCTTTTAGCGAAGGAGCTCTTTTTTCCTCATAGGAATCCATGTATTCTTAAAGGACTGCTAAATATATATAGTTAACAGTCGGATCTCATATTGGCGATATGTGTTGCACCACCAACGCACCAAACGGAATACAAACACCGTATGAAACTGGACTCGAAGAATGAATTTACATGGGAATCCATTCGAGACGCACGAGCTACTCGCACGGGTCGGAGGGAAGGTGAAGAACTCAGGAGGTTGCGTGTGAATCCCTCGACTGTCAATGCATTGCCCCGAGGGTTCAGGGGGGGAAGGAAGGGGTGGGGGGGGGGGGGAAGCTTCCTCGGCACGATGGAGTGGAATACGGAGGTTAACGTGTCTAGACGAGGCGCAGCCACTCAAAACACCCTTCCGACTCCGCTATAGACGCATTTTGGTTTTGCGAACGCCTTTCAGGCGGCCCTGCACGTTCGGGAAGCGAGAGATATAAATCGAAAATCCAGTTGATGTCTTTTTCTCTTGAGCAAAATAAATGGAAACGCGAAAATTGAGAGAAGTATGTCATCTCGATTTACCAATTTTTCTGAGTGTAAACAGTGTTTCGTCATTCACTAAAAGACTTGAATTTTTTGTTTTTTGTTCCTGCTAATGCTCTCTCCATTATGCTATGTCTACATCCTGTATCCACGATTATCCTCCACGATGCAATGGGAAAAACTGCGATAGATCGTTGTGCAGATCCTGGATGCTACAATCACAGCATTAGGTATGGTTCAACGATGAAACAGATGGTGGCACTGATGAAGCAGTCGATGTCGTGCGAACAGCAAATAAGAGTGAGTGGATCCTGTCGTCTCAGGACATTGTATTTTAATAGGTTTTTATCGTAAGCCGAATGTTACCGTTAGCAAATTTTGAAGAATGGATACTCTCTTGTGCTTTCGAAAAGCTAAACCTAAACAAGTTAATTCCAAAAAAAATCTAGTTTCTGCCCAGCAAAAAGAGCAAAAGCCAATCGGCATTCCGCCTAGTAAAATTATTTGAAAAAAAAAAATTACCCCTGAAACATAGGATTCACAACTGAAAATCCGCATTCCAGAATATTGAATTTAGAACACCCAATCTTGCATAGTTCTAGATATTTCAGACTCAGCATTGACTATGTATCGTTTCAGTATGAGTGTTTTACGACGGCCCTCACAACCGGAGACATACACTATGCATGGTGGGTGGACCGTCACGGCAAATCTCACTACTACTGGGACGGGTCAACCACATGAAAACACATATGCAAGGGTGGTCTCTCTCGAAAATGCATCGACTCAAACCTCCCTTGCAATTGTGATGCAGAAGCTCCACAATGGGATCAGACTCAGGAGCGATAACGAATGAATGGGCATTACCCATAACTGAGTTGCGCTTCGGGGGACTACAATTTGAGGGTCAGAAAGCGAATTACACATTGGGTGGATTGGCTTGCAAGGGCAGGATTCCGCCTCCGGACAATCCAGCACATTCCTGTACATCTCTTCGCCAAGCTGGAAACGTTCATCCTGGTTATTACCTAATCAACTCCAAGAAGGGTCGCTTGGACGTCATTATGTGTAGGATGGATTTGGAGGAGACCGACTCGAAGTTTCAGGTGGAGACCAGTGCACGTATTGCGGGGGGGGGCCATACTTTGATGTGGTTGGAGCCATAGGAACAAAAGGCAATGTTCTGCAATTTACGACTACCATTATCAACATAGGCAATGCAATGGATCGGAAAAGCGGAATTTTCACTGCTCCCATGGATGGCATTTATGCCTTTCATTTTCATTGTAGGATGGAGAGCGGTTTTGTAAGCATTTTATTCAGGAAAAATGGAAGGGACAAATTAACTCCACTGAGGAAATGAAAGGTGCAGCAACTCAAAGGCAATCTATCATACTTGAGCTAATTCAAGGCGACAAAATTGATCTATACTTGCAGGAAGGTTCAATACCTCAAAACAAATTTACTTGACATTTCATTGGTCATTTGCTTTATCCCATTTGAAAAGAGGAATGAAACGAAGTATTCATTGGACTGGCATCTGTCAAAAGCATTTACGCTGAATATTCCCAACATTCCCTTGGCGATTTCTTAATCGCACCTGACCTTTAGATAGCATTTCTTAAAACTTTACCTAGTGAAAAGCTGTTCCGGAATATTCTTTGATCCCTCTTTGCTATGGAGCATCAAACATTTTCCGTGCAAAAATTTTTTTTTTCTATGAGAACGGGTATCGTGCGGTGGGAGTGGAATAGAAATGTGACAGTCAAAATGACGTGTGCTATTAAGCTAAGCATCACAGCGCACAGTGGTACGAAAGTCCGAATTTCTTGGACAAAAGTCGAATTTTGAAAAAGGAGGAATAAAAAATGTTTTGTCGTTAAAAGTTACGGATTGAAGTCCTTGTCCTGCATCGACATTTCTCCAGGCCTTCCTCTGGTCCTTTATTAGCCTTTACATAGTGCAAAGGTCAATGATTTGAACTTTTCTTAAAATATAGAGACTTGATGCCAAATTGTGACAAAAGTTTGTCATGTAATACGACTGTTCTTAACGCTGTTTTTCCATCAAGTGCGATCTGAACGTGTACCTGAGAGTGAGTCTTGATTGTTGTATGTACAGTTTTACTCCTGATGTGTATGAATAACTCACGTTATTTATTAGATCCTGTGTAGTTGATTGATGAACTACTTCTAGTGACAAGGTACATTGATCGAGTGAATTTGAAGTACTTCTCAAGATTTCTCAGAGAATTCCTTATAAGCCAATGAGTATCTATTAACGAAGAGAAAAATTAGCCCAAAATCTCCTGCGCCCAGTTGCGCCTAAAGTGAGGAAAAAATTTTTGAAGACCATTTTCAGCCAATTGACATCGCTGTCTGAAAACCTCTCGGTATTTCTGAAGACTTAGCCCGAAGAACCAAGGCAAGTCTTCTGAATAGCTTGGCACTTTTCCATAATCGACATTGCAATGAATCATGAAAATCCTGGTTTATTTTGTAGTGGGCTTGAATGAGCTTGACCAACACTAGAATGACACTTGAGTCAGCAGGGTCAGCTCGGTTCATCTGCCTCTGATGTTGTAGAGGTCCGTTCGGGTCAAAGGCATTGGCATCTATCCTGAAGAAATTTCGAGATCAAAAATATGAAAAATTTTCATAACTTTAGGCGCAGCTGGGCGCAAGAGATTTTGGGCTAATTTTGCTCTTCGTTAATAGATACTCATTGACTTATAAGGAACTCTCTGAGAAATCTTGAGAAGTACTTCAAATTCACATGATAAATTTTACTTATCATTAGAAGTAGTTCATCAATCAACTAAACAGGATCTAATAAATAACATGAGTTATGCATACACATCAGGAGTAAAACTGTACATACAACAAGCAAGACTCACTTTCAGGTACACGTTCAGATCGCACTTGATGAAAAAACAGCGTTAAGAACAGTCGTATTACATGACAAACTTTTGTCACAATTTGGCATCAAGTCTCTATATTTTAAGAAAAGTTCAAATCATTGACCTTTGCACCATGTAAAGGCTAATAAAGGACAAGAGGAAGGCCTGGAGAAATGTCGATGCAGGACAAGGACTTCAATCCGTAACTTTTAACGACAAAATATTTTTTATTCCTCCTTTTTCAAAATTTGACTTTTGTCCAAGAAATTCGGACTTTCGTACCACTGTGCTGCAGCGTCACGATTGTTAGCATCTTCTGGGATGTGAAAAGCGCCTTGATCATTCATTTCTTGAACCATGTATCAAACATCAGTGCTGATGCCTTCTGCGCAAACCTGAATAAGTTCCTCAAAACCACCCGTTGAAGTCGCCCCCGACTATTTACAGGAGGTCATCCCTTGCGCGAGGATGGCCGATAGAATCTCGGCGCATAATGGGCGACACGTTTTAGACATTCCTTCCTACTGAATTGAAAAGTGAAAACGCCAATTCGGCGGCGAGTCAAAATTCTGACCCCGGACATTTTCCAGAAAGGAATTGACAAACCAATCGAAAGATGGTATGCATTCCTAAACAATGCTGATGAAAGCTTCCGAAAATACGAATCCGAAATCCTAATGAACACTTGCATATGAATGCTGAGCGCCACTTTAAATATATTTGGCAGTCGTCGTAGTTACCTATCGAACGATCCTCGAAGACGTGCAAATGGTTGAGCTACAGCTCGAGCGAGAAAATATTTCAGTTTCTTCCCTTTTCTTTAGGACTTCTGAAGCCACCCTTTGCGAGGGGGAAACAGGCAATGGAAAAGAGGGGGCGATGCATTTGTACGAGGTATGCAATCAAACACTAGATTCACGAACTCACACCAGATCTTTAATACAAGGAATAGCTCCCTTGGGTCACAGGTGTCCTCGACTCTAGTATTCTATATGGGCGAAAGCTTTTCATGGCACCAAAATTCCAACCCTCAAACGTTGAAAGGGTAATTAACATATAATGTGGTAATGGGAAAACAATTTTAAAAGCTTTCCCTTTCTTCAACCCCTACCCAACCTGAACCTCACCTCCACCCACCCCCCTCCCCCTCCTTCTTCGCGAACTCTCTAGCGCTAGGACTAGGCCTAACCGACGGACTTCCTTTGGGTCAAACCTAGGCCTACCTTATTTCGTTCAAAAACTGAAAGAAGCGAAGGAAGAGGATTAAATCCTGGTCTTGGAGACACCTCGTCGAGGACGTGTAACGTTAGGCCTATCGCAGGCCCATTCAGTCTCTCATGGCCCATTTAACAGAGAACGTGTAACGTTAGACCGATTGTAGGTTTCTTTCAAGTTTCATGAACTACTCCAGTGCGGTCGGGGAACATTAGGCTTTTTCTTTCAGAGTTGTGCAAACCGTCCGGACTCGTTTCATGATGAAAATGCCCTTAGCAGGTATGGCGCACAAGCTGGCCGCCATCGTGTTAATTTAGGGATGTCCAGAAGAGATATCTTCGTTTTCCACAAAATTGATCGGGCCACTGGAAACAACCGTATATATCTCAGCTCATCCCATGACATTTAAAATAATATCGTCTCCAAAATGAAAAAAGAGAAGATCCAGACAACGATACAAAGGCAGAAGAAGTCATGAATTAGACATAACTCCGAAATGATATCGGTCAACACTGGAGGACGGGAGCGGAGAGAGAGCTCTAAGCCTACACTGTTTTCATAGTGAATTGATACCGCCATTGTGGAGAATTGTGAAAACAAGCTTTTCAGTTGGTCCTCGAGATGTCAAGTCTGCAGCTCCACATGGTTGTTGAATGGCTTTACAAATACTACGCCTTCTAACTGCAAGGTGTCCTGCCTGTAATTGATGGAATCTCTCCAAGGGGGGGGGGGTGGTGGTGCCAATTCAATCCGAAAACAGTGCAAATAAACGGATGGTAAATTTTGGCGAAATGGAGCATCGCAAGAAACAAAAAGTTCACTTTTTGTCATCTACAAGTCAACATCGTTCTCATCGTTGGTCTCTTTCCTCCGAAAGCACCAGGGGAGAAAAAAAAAACGGAACGAAAAAAACGAGATTCAGTGTTTTCCACAACCCCAGGAAATTAAAGCTTCAAATTTGCTGAAGCGATTCTTCGTGTAGAGGGTAAGAAGCATGCCCAATACTGTTACCCATGATTTTCAAGGATAGCAGCAGAAGAATGTTGAAGAGAACAGACCCCACCGATCCATGTTTATGGGACGACGCAGGCATTGGAGCCAGTCGCCAGCTGAAATGTAAGCATCCAAGCTTGAACTTGGGATCAAGGGAAGAGCAGACTGCCTTCCAGTCTCCGACGGGCGGGGTGTCTCGCGAGCGTCGAGAATAAGGGGAGAGTTTCCTGTTGATAATATCGTGTATGCGACTGGAAATTTGTGCTTGTGCGTTTGGAGAGTCGATGTTGTGGGTTCCTTTCGGTGGAGGAAGGTGGTTCATTTACAGTTTACAATAGGGAATCACAGACCTTGTGTTTGTGATTTTTTTTTCTTTGGTAAGGAAATATTTCTGGTAATTTATGGGAAATTATTTTTTCGCAAATCAAGCATCGATTTTTCCCTGAAATAAGCTTTAATTAGTTAGAAGCACAAGTACTTGGCAGTTTCCACCTGATGAAAATACTGTGCCCAAACAAACCGGTTCTATGAGGTTTTTTTGTGTTCGTAGACTCATAATTTCATGAATATCCAATCAATAAAAAAAATGCTTGGAAGGACGATAGCCTCGCTTCTTCGCTACCAATACCCAAGTGGAGAACTTATGTTGTTGCGAGTAACACAGGAAATGCGTTTCATGTAAGGGAGCATTGAAGGAAGAAGGATTGGGTTGGTAGTAAGCTGGAAGATGGACAAGCTCTCTCCTTATAAGATTGGAGACCTAAGTAGCCATGGATGATCCAAAACTCGTCCTTATACCAATCTCCGGACAGTCCAAGTCCAAAAGTCCTATGTATTGAATTCATCCCATGGATGTAAATAGGACGTCATCGCTATGTACCTTCTCATACTTTTTGAGTTTCATCCGAGCAGAATTTCCCTACATCGAGAACTTAATTACTTCCATTTTGTTGAATGATTTTTTTTTGCAATGACGTTACGAGCGTCAGATAGCATAAACATTGGCGTGGAGAACGCTCTGGCGAAGAAAAATCATTGCAGAAAGAACTTTCAGTGACCATGAAAGTTTTTGGTGCAGGCTATCTGAAAATCTTCTTTCAAAGTTATTTTTGATATCCTCCATCACTTTCTACACAAGAAAATCTTTCTGGTGTGGACGACTCCTTGTAAAAAACTTTCTTAGTAATTCTTTGACCAAAGGAAGAGAAAACATCATTAGATACTTAGATATTTCCTTTTTGCACATGGACCTTTACGAATTTTCATCAGTTAAATTATTCAAGTCAAATTTAAATGTGGAAACACCATGGAGCAGCGATTCGGCATTTGTATACGTTCCGTTTTCATTTCAGGTCCGAAAAAAAGTCGAGGAAGCTGTGCACCAATATGAGGGGAATTCCATGTTTCTTGTTTGCACTGATCCATTTAACCAAGTACGGGACTGGAAATGTAAGTCGAACTTCATCCGTTGTCGATCTCCCCTATTTCAAGGAGAGAGTATATATTCCTCCATTATGTAGATTTCCATGAAAAAGGGTATATGATGCTCCAAATTCAATAAGACTTGATGAATGTAATGAAGACTTAGGAAAATTTATTTTTTATGTTTAAGTTCAACACCTTTGTAGTTTTTTTTGCATGCTTTCGAGGCAATGGATAAAAGGTTTCTAGCAGATGAGGATTGCAATGCTCCTTCTCGAAGTGGAGAATAAATTCCCCATGGGTTTTAACATGAAGCTATTCCTGCGATGATAAAAAATATTTAACCACCATTCTATTTCCCAGGCACTCGAAAGCATTCCGATCCATGGACGGGAAAATATTGGAGGGAACTTGGAAGAAATGATGTCAGATCTGAGGGCAACTACGCTGGAACATGCGAAGCAAATCTCACAACTCAAGTCTGAAAATGAGCAAAAGTTGGAAAGCCTCAGGGACGACTACAACAAAATCAAGTCCGACTTTGAGAAGATGAGGAAAGAGCACGAAAATCTCAAGTCTAGCCTGCAGGAACATATTCGAGAAAGAGACGAACTTAAACTTCAACTGAACGTCACGGAAGGAAGACTCCAATATCTGGAGGCTATAAGCCTGCAAATATGTGAGTTGAGACTCGATGAAGCCTTTCAATCCAAGTTGTTAACGATCATAAAAAAATAATATGAGCTAATGAGGTGAGCTAATGGCACGAAAGCAGTTATATCCGTCTCCAGAATGTCCTATCACTGCTAGGAATTTCTGGCTTACTGTACAGTGACTGTCACCACCATATTACTAGTACAGTGCACGTGGTTACTCTTCATAGATGGCTCTAACGATCTTGGGAGCATTCAGCGATGAGCATCGTACATTATTGAAATTCCCTGACAACAGACGGCTCCACGACACATAGATTACTTCGAATGTAATGCCTCTTATATTGAGGACGAAAAATCTTCGCATGAAGCGCGTTCTACAATATAGGGACACCACAAGATCCTGACCTATGCCCACGAGTCAAGCTCGCGTCATCATGTAAAATCTTTCTCGAATAAGGAAAGCATTATGCAATAATTCTTATATTTGGCCTTCTGCTGACAGAAACTATGTTACTATGTGCGGTTCCTCATAGGACGCTCATTTGATCGCTGGCATCACCTTAGAACGACTAATACTCCCGCGCATTGTGAACAACTCGGATAGCAGTGACAGTAGCACTTCAGCCGATCGCATATTCCAGGCAGAGATTGGAAATGCTGTCATTACTCGAACTTCAGTTTCCGTACGAAATGCTCTAAAGTATCGTATTCATTTGATCAGAAGTGCATCTGTTCCTCCAGGTGAGGACAGCAATGTATGAATACTTTCATCACAGCTCCCCGAACGTGTCAGACGTTGGCAGACTTGGGAGTGACACGGACGGGAGAATACTTCGTGGATCCTGACGGAGCGTTGATCGGCGATGCACCCATCAAAGTCCTCTGTGATATGGAGACAGGTCGGTGAAGTAAACAATCGTTTTGTCATTCGGTAAAATATTTAAATTGTGTTTTTTTTTCGTGCTAATGCTCTCTTAACTATACTACGACTAGATCCTGTTTCCACGATTGTCCTCCACGATGCGATGGGAAACACTGCCATAGATCGATGTGCAGATCCTGGATGCCACAATCACAGCATCAGGTATGGTTCAACGATGAAGCAGATGGTGGCACTGATCAACCAGTCGAAATCATGCGAACAGCACATCAGAGTGAGTGTATCCTGCTGTCTCAGGACTTTGTATTTTAATGTCCTTTCATCGTAAGCCGAAGGTTACGGTTCGCAAATTTTGAAGAATGCATACTCTCTTGTCTTTTTAAAAAGTTAAGCCTAAACAAGTTAATTACAAAAAAACGATCTATCTGCTGCCTGGTAAACACAAGAGCAAAAACCAATCGGCATTCCGCATAGCAATATTAATTTAAAAAAGAAAAAATATTACCCTAGACACTTGGGATTCACAACTGAAAATCTGCATTGTTGAATTTAGAACACCCAATCTTGCATGGTTCTAGATGTTTCAGACTCAGCATTGACTGTGTATCGTTTCAGTATGACTGTTTTACGACGGCCCTCACAACCGGAGACATACACTATGCCTGGTGGGTGGACCGTCACGGCAAACCTCAATACTACTGGGACGGGTCAAACACAGGAAAACATATATGCAAGTGCGGTCTCTCTAGAAAATGCATCGACTCAAACCTCCCTTGCAATTGTGATGCAAAAGCTCCACATTGGGGATCAGACTCAGGAGCGATAACGAATGAATGGGCATTGCCCATAACCGAGTTGCGCTTCGGGGGACTGCAATTTGAGGGTCAGAAAGCGAATTACACATTGGGTGGATTGGCTTGCAAGGGCAGTATTCCGCCTCCGGACAATCCAGCGCAATCCTGTTCATCTCTTCGCCGAGCGGGAAACGTTCATCCTGGTTATTACCTAATCAACTCCAAGAAAGGTCGCTTGGACGTCGTCATGTGTAGAATGGATTTGGAGGAGACCGACCCGAAATTTCAGGCGGAGACCAATGCACGTATTGCAGGGGCAGGGTTTCTCCATGGCAAGGTTACGCCTCCGGACAATCCAGCGCAATCCTGTTCATCTCTTCGCCGAGCTGGAAACGTTCATCCTGGTTATTACTTAATCAGCTCCAAGAAAGGTCGCTTGGACGTCGTCATGTGTAGGATGGATTTGGAGGAGACCGACCCGAAATTTCAGGCGGAGACCAATGCACGCATTGCATATGGTGACCCCTATTTTGATGTGTATCATGCCATTGTAATAGAAAACAACACTCTGAGTTTTAATCATGCGAATATCAACAAAGGCAATGCAATGGATCTGCAGAGTGGAATTTTTACTGCTCCGATGGATGGTATTTATGCTTTTAATTTTCATTGTATGACGGAGATGACCCCTCATCTCTACTTACTTATCCGTCTCTATAAAAACTCACACAATGTGGGACATATTTACTCTTCTCACGAAATGAAACATGCAATGGTTGGACAGTCCATCATACTTGAGCTCATTCAAGGCGACAAAATTTACGTCTATTTGCACGCGGGTTCAATATATGCACATGAAAGAAGTTCTTCCCATTTCACGGGTCATTTGCTATATCCCATGTGAAAAGAGGAATAAAACGAAGTATACGTTGGACTAGCATCTGTCAAAAGCATTTACTCTGAATATTCCCAACATTCCCTTGGCGATGTCTTAATCGCACCTGGCCTTTAGACAGCGTTTCTTAAAACTTTCCTCAGGGAAAAGCTGTTCCAGAATATTCTTTGATCCGTCCTTGCTATGGAGCATCAAACATTTTCCGTGCAAAAATGATTTTTCTATGAGAACATGTAGCGTGCGGTTGGAATGGAATTGAAATGTGACAGTCAAAATGGCGTGTGCTATTAAACTAAGCATCACAGCGTCATGATTGTTAGCATCATCTAGGATGTGAAAAGCGCCTTCATCTTTCATTTCTTGAACCATGTATCAAACATCAATGCCGATGCCTTCTGCGCAAACCTGAATAAGTTCCACGAAACCATCCGTTGAAGTCGCCCCCGACTATTTACAGGAGTTCTTCCCTTGCACGATGATGGCCGATAGAATCTCGGCGCGTTCTGGGCGATACGTTTTGGACATTCCTTCCTACTGAATTGGAAAGTGAAAGCGCCTGTTCGGCAGCGAGTCAAAATTCTGAGCACAGACATTTTCCAGAAAGGAATTGACAATCCAATCGAAAGATGGTATGCATTCCTAAACAATGCTGATGAATGCTTCCGAAAATACGAATCCGAAATCCTAATGAACACTTGTATATGAATGCTAAGCGACACTTTAAATATATTTGGCAGTCATCGTAGCTACCTATCGAACGATCCTCGAAGACATGTAAAGTCAACCACATGGTTGTTGTATGGTTTTATAAATACTACGCCTTCTAACTGCAAGGTGTCCTGCCTGTAATTGATGGAATCTCTCCAACGGGGGGGGGTGGTGCCAATTCAATCCGAAAGTAGTGCAAATAAACGAATGGTAAATTCATTTTTTTTTTAATGGCGAAATGGTGCATCGCAAGCAACAAAAAGGGCAGTTTTTGTCATCTACAAGTCAACATCTTTTTCATTGTTGGTCTCTTTCCTCCGAAAGCACCAGGGGAGAAAAAAAAAAGGGAACGAAAAAAGCGAGATTCAGTGTCTTCCACAAGCCCAGGAAATTCAAGGTTCAAATTTGCTGAAGCGATTCTTCGTGTAGAGGGTAAGAAGCATGCCCAATACTGTTACCCATGATTTTCAAGGATAGGAGCAGAAGAATGTTGAAGAGAACAGGCGCAACTGATCCATGTTTATGGGACGCAGGCATTGGAGCCCGTCGTCGCCAGCTGAAATGTAAACATCCAAGCTTGACCTTGGGTTCACGCCAAGAGCAGACTGCCTTCCAGTCTCCGACGGGCGGGTGTCTCGCGAGCGTCGAGAATAAGCGGAGAGTTTCCTGTTGATAATATCGTGTATGCGACTGGAAATTTGTGCTTGTGCGTTTGGAGAGTCGATGTTGTGGGTTCCTTTCGGTGGAGGAGGATGGTTCATTTACAGTTTAAAATAGGGAATCACAGACCTTGTGTTTGTGATTTTTTTTTTCTTTTTTAAGGAAATATTTCTCGTAATTTATGGGAAATTTTTTTTCGCAAATCAAGCATCGATTTTTCCCTTAAAATAAGCTTTAATTATACAGAAACACAAGTACTTGGCAGTTTCCACCTGATGAAAATACTGTCCCCAAACAAACTGGTTCTATGAGGTTTTTGTGTTCGTAGACTCATAATTTCATGAATATCCAATAAATATAAAAAATGCTTGGAGTGTCGATAGCCTCGCTTCTTCGCTACCAATACCCAAGTGGAGAACTTATGTTGTTGCGAGTAACTCAGGAAATGCGTTTCATGTAAGGGAGCACTGAAGGAAGAAGGATTGGTTTGGTAGTAAGCTGGAAGATGGAAAAGCTCTCTCCTTATAAGTTTGGAGACCTAAGTAGCCATGGATGATCCAAAACTCGTCCTGATACCCATCTCCGGACAGTCCAAGTCCAGAAGTCCTATGTATTGAATTCATGCCATGTATGTAAATAGGACGTCATCGCTATGGATCGATACCTTCTCATACTTTTCGAGCTTCAACCGAGCAGAATTTCCCTACATCGAGAACTTAATTACTTCCATTTTGTTGAAGGATTTTCTTTTACAATGACGTAACGAGCGTCGAATCGCAGGATTTTTTCTCTGCTGCCACACGTTGTTTACCTCATGAAGCGAGATCTGGAATGCTTCACTTTCATAAACATTGGCGTGGAGAACGCTCTGGCGAAGAAAAATCCTTGCAGAAAGAACTTTCAGTGACCATGAAAGTTTTTGGTGTAGGTTATCTGAAAATCTTCTTTCAAAGTTATTTTTGATATCCTCCATCACTTTCTATACAAAAAACCTTTCTGGTGTGGACGACTCCTTGTAAAAAACTTTCTTTCCAACTCTTCGACCAAAGGAAGAGAAAACATCATTAGATGCTTAGATATTTCCCTTTTGCACATGGACCTTTACGAATTTTCATCAGTTAAATTATTCAAGTCAAATTTAAATGTGGAAACACCATGGAGCAGCGATTCGGCATTTGTATACGTTCCGTTTTCATTTCAGGTCCGAAAAAAAGTCGAGGAAGCTGTGCACCAATATGAGGGGAATTCCATGTTTCTCCTTTGCACTGATCCTTTTAACCAATTACGGGACTGGAAATGTAAGTCGAACTTCATCCGTTGTCGATCTCCCCTATTTCAAGGAGAGAGTATATATTCCTCCATTATGTAGATTTCCATGAAAAAGGGTTTATGATGCTCCAAATTCAATGAGACTTGATGAATGTAATGAAGACTTAGGAAAATTTATTTTTTTATGTTTAATTTCAACACCTTTGTAGTTTTTTTTGCATGCTTTCGAGTCAATGGATAAAAGGTTTCTAGCGGATGAGGATTGCAATGCTCCTTCTCGAAGTGGAGAATAAATTCCCCATGGGTTTTAACATGAAGCTATTCCTGCGATGATAAAAAATATTTAACCACCATTCTATTTCCCAGGCACTCGAAAGCATTCCGATCCATGGACGGGAAAATATTGGAGGGAACTTGGAAGAAATGATGTCAGATCTGAGGGCAACTACGCTGGAACATGCGAAGCAAATCTCACAACTCAAGTCTGAAAATGAGCAAAAGTTGGAAAGCCTCAGGGACGACTACAACAAAATCAAGTCCGACTTTGAGAAGATGAGGAAAGAGCACGAAAATCTCAAGTCTAGCCTGCAGGAACATATTCGAGAAAGAGACGAACTTAAACTTCAACTGAACGTCACGGAAGGAAGACTCCAATATCTGGAGGCTATAAGCCTGCAAATATGTGAGTTGAGACTCGATGAAGCCTTTCAATCCAAGTTGTTAACGATCATAAAAAAANCGTTTCAGTATGACTGTTTCACGACGGCCCTCACAACCGGAGACATACACTATGCCTGGTGGGTGGACCGTCACGGCAAACCTCAATATTACTGGGACGGGTCAAGCACAGGAAAACATATATGCAAGTGCGGTCTCTCTAGAAAATGCATCGACTCAAACCTCCCTTGCAATTGTGATGCAAAAGCTCCACATTGGGGATCAGACTCAGGAGCGATAACGAATGAATGGGCATTGCCCATAACCGAGTTGCGCTTCGGGGGACTACAATTTGAGGGTCAAAAAGCGAATTACACATTGGGTGGATTGGCTTGCAAGGGCAGGATTCCCCCTCCGGACAGTCCAGCACAATCCTGTTCATCTCTTCGCCGAGCGGGAAACGCTCATCCTGGTTATTACCTAATCAGCTCCAAGAAAGGTCGCTTGGACGTTGTTATGTGTAGGATGGATTTGGAGGAGACCGACCCGATGTTTCAGGTGGAGACCAAGGCCCGTATCGCAGATGGGGCCCCATATTTTGGTGCGAATAGAGCCGAAGGAACAAATGGCGAAGTTCTGCGAATCTATGGGTCACATATCAACATAGGGAATGCAATGGATATGGGGAGCGGAATTTTTACTGCTCCCATGGATGGCATTTATGCTTTTAATTTTCATTGTAGGACGGAGAGCGGTGGAGCATTCATCCGTCTGAGGAAAAACAGTACCTCGGTTTTGGGAAACATTTACTCCTCTAACGAAATGAAACATCATGCAATGGTTGGACAGTCCATCATACTTGGGCTAATTCAAGGCGACAAGATAGATGTCTACTTGGAGAATGGTTCAATATTCACTGATTCATATTCTTCACATTTCACAGGTCATTTGCTATATCCCTTGTGAAAAAATGAATAAGTCGAGTATGCCTTGGACTGACATCCGTCATTAGCTATTTACGCTGACTATTCCTGACTATGGATTTGGAGGAGACCGACCCGAAATTTCAGGTGGAGACGAAGGTACGCATTGCATATGGTGACCCCAATTTTGATGTGTGTTATGCCAGTGGAGCACAAGGCAACATTCTGCGTTTTAATGAGGCGAATATCAACAAAGGGAATGCTATGGATCTGCAGAGCGGAATTTTTACTGCTTCCATGGATGGTATTTATGCTTTTATTTTCGGGGGAAGAGCGGGGAAGTAGAAATCAGTCTACAAAAAAACTCAGGCAATGTGGGATTTATTTACTCTTCTAACGAAGGGAAACATCACGCAATGGTGGGACAATCCATCAGACCTGAGCTGATTCAAGGTGACAAAATTCACGTCTACTTCATCAAATGTTCAATATTTTCACGTTCTTACACATCTTCTTCGCATTTCACCGGTCATTTGTTATATCCCATGTGAAAAGAGGAATAAAACGGAGTATGCGTTGGACTGGCAACCGTCAAAAGCATTTACGCTGTATATTCCCAACATTCCCTTGGGGATGTCTTCCTCACTTTAGATAGCATTTCTTAACACTCTCGTCCTCCGCGAAAAAATTCTTTTCCTATGAGAACAGGTGGCATGTGCTGTTAATGGAATTGATATGAGAGAATCGAAGATTGCACGTACTAGTAACCCAAGTAGCCACGCGCGATCCAAAACTCGTCCATGGACAGTCCAGCCGTCCAGAGACATCCAGCGGCGGTCGTCCTTCGGATGCCATCGCCATGGACCGATTTCTTCTCGTGCATTCTCAGCTTTTTTTTCAGCAGAATTTCCCTATCTGGAACACTCAACTAGGGGGGGGGGGGGGGGGGGGGGAAGAAGGCGGGGGGGCGGGGGGGGGGGGGGGGGGGGGGGGGGGCAGCGGAAGAAGTTCGCGAAGCGCCGAGTTAAGCCACGACTACGAAGTCCTGAGGCAGGACGATGCGACGAGACAACTTTGAAACAGAAGAGTATGTTCGGCATCAACCCCGTTTAGTCTTCAAAATTCATTTTTCGCAACTTGCGGGGACTCCATCGAGTCCTGGCCCCTCTCAGAAGAAATTGGGAAATTTCCATGCCATTCTTGGCTTTTTTTTGTTGT